ATACAATAAATGTACCTTAATACATGCTTTAAAACCTATTCAAGAAACTCATTAAAATAATTTTAACAACTTTTTAAGCTAACTTTATGAACACTAAAAATTTAACATTAAGTCATCAGAAATTATAAATCTTTACATTTACATTTTTAATCAATATAAAATTTAAAGCATCACAATTTATCAACTCAACATATATACTTACTAATACATTATATAGTAGTATTAAATATAGTTCACCTCTCTAACTAAAAATTGTTAGTTCATAATAGTTATGCTAAATGTAAATTACTGTAAAAACAAATAAATATAAGAGATAAGATTATAAATTAAGAACATAAATGATTGAATTTGAAAAAAGAAGTGGAGCAGGCCATTAACGAAAGGGTGCTTCTTAGTTGGCAGCACATATGAAAAAAAAAAAAAAAAATCCAAGAAATGCTTTAAAATTTGACCGTTTGTGGATTAAACAGTTCAAATAGGCGACTAAGGCAACTCCGTGAGGAAAAGGATGACAACGAACAAAATAATTGGAGTACAGGGATGACACTTGGTGCTTTGGTAAGTAGAGGGATGGACATGAATAAAAATTAAAAGTAGAGGGACGATGGTTGGCTTTAACCCGAATATGTTCAGAAACCGTGACTGGTTGGCGCCGTGGGTGGGAAGTCAGATCAAGGTACCGGTGAAGTTTTTGATATACTATTTTATTATTTAAAATTATTATTTTATTATTTAAAACAATTTAAACGATAAAATAATTTTAAAAAAAATTAACCTCTTCACGTCATCTGAACATAAGGTTTGCATCACTCAAACATCCAGAACCAGAAACATAAACGCGGGGAAGATACACTTGTCCTGATCTTGGGGTGCAATTAAAAGGGTCCCACCATAGATGACGTTAACATCACAGCGGGGCCCGCATGTAAGCCTCCCTTCAAATCTGGTATCTGTATGGACCTCAATGTCTCTCCATCACATCACTGAACACTGACACATACAGTCCCATGATTGCGACCCATACACCATGCCGCTCCATGTACTACGTTTTGGGCCAGCAAAGCCATTGCATGATTGGAGCAAGTACATTTATATGGGGTTAAATGTTAAATTTGATCCCTCAACTTTAAGAAATGTACATTTTTGGTCTCTTAACAATTTTTTGCACTTTTTTGATCCCTCAACTATACGAAATGCACTCCGTTAGTCCTTCTGTCAAATTAGGCCGTTAACTCTGCCCATGTGGCATTTTTTATATTTTTTTTGATGACGTGGCGAGTAAAATTTAGAAAAGTGCTGATATGGACAAAATGTTTTGCCATGTAATCTTCCCGCGAAGTCAAAGGCGCCAAACTCAAATGGGCCCCACATTGACTGCCAAAGCACCAATAAATTACTCCT